GTTACGAAAGTAAAGAGCTACCCCACCACCTTTGCTGGTTCGATCCTTCCGGACAACGGACATGCCCGTTAGCCCAATTTCAGCATCCGTTATCTCGCAGCGAAACCACGTTTCGGTGAGAGCCATGAGGTCCCAAGCTGCAGACGCGTGTCGAAGTCTTAATACAGCTAATTTGCTGAGTAGACCTTGGGCATTTGTGTACATGCATGAGAGCTTCTCGGAGACTAAAAGTGTGTTAGATTGGATGGATGAAGCAAATGAGTTTACACCGACCAATAAAGGGTCGGTGACTAATCGTTTTTTGATGGGTTGCATACTCTCGAGAAGTATTTGATATATAAGCACGTATCAGATGCTCCGGATCCCGGTGTTTGTTCGTGCTCTGCTGTGTCTCTTCGGATATTAGGGCTACTCTTGAAACCGTCCCCGAGTCGGGTCCTGCACTCGGCGTTTTTATTAAGAGTTGTGCCTCTACTGAGTTGTCATTAGAAGGTGCTGCTTTCAGACGAATTTCTGTTAACAATCTGCAACGGAATTTAGTCCAGTTCTTTAGTAGGGCTTGTGCCGTTAGTTCTGACTGTAACACAAGTTTTAACAGCCTGGGACCGTACTCCTTATAGTTTGGAAATATGGGGATCCTTGTCAACGACGTGACTACGACATTTTCGAGAGAAAGAGCCTCCCGGATGTAGTGCCATTGCTCGCGATCGTGCATCTGAGCATCGCCGGAAGAGGAATTAGTAAGCTCGGGAACACCATGAACAATCACTGTTTTCTTATCTTGACTTTTTCTGTAACTCTCTTTGTTAGCGGGATCCACTGAACGTTCTTTCCACGGGATTTCGAGTAGTATGCGCACTCCACTTGAGTCGTTGCGGAGACAATTCGCAGACAGCAGAACGGCCTCAGTCTCGTCCACCGAGTTTAGTGTTACCCGAAGTAACCGGGGTTCGCCGTAGTGCAACGCGTTTGGGTGGCGCGAGATTCTTTTTAATGTCGTGGGATTAGCGTGGACATCGATCAACGTACAGATGGAACCCCACTGATTTCCAGCGTCCGTCAACTTACCCTTAATTGTATTGGATTTGGATTCGGGGACATTTGTGCATACAATGTTTAGGGCACCATGGTTGCGCCTGTTGGCTACTGGTTTTGGATTTGGAGGCTTAGTATCCGGTGTTTTTGGTGAATTTGTGAACGGCACTGATGTGTGCCATCCATGCCGCGACACTTTAGCTTTCTCTAGTCCGGGTACAAAGGTTACCGGTGCTCTTTCCGGTGTTTGCTTGGCGGCAACCGGTGCGTACGTTGCCTGGTTGTTCACTATCGCTGGTTGTCTATAGCCTACAGTCTCGTGTGTAGCAAACAGACTACTAGGTGCAGCACACAGTACAGAAGTTGAGGCAGGCGCGCTGCAGGCAATGTTTTTACTTATAGGAGGGTGGGAGAATGGAGTTGATACTGCTGGAGGCTGAGTCGTTGGGGTTCGGTTGGGACGCCTGGCTCGCTTCTTCGGCCTGACTAGAGAATTCGGGGTGTTATTTTCACTCACAAGTGCAGGTCCGTTTTCTCCCATGGGTGGAACTCGGGCGCTCACCAGTTGCTCGACCGCTTCGGTTAGTCTTTCACACCTCTTCAGTAGCACAGATAGACAGCTAACAAAGGGGATAGAATTGCATACTTGGCAGAATCAAAAACGCCTCTGCGATGTTTGCTTTCGTCGACCCCTTCCCAACGCAGGTAGTGTGATAGGATTTCAAGCACATGGTACACACCAGACCATTTTTCACCACTTTAGCGCATGATTCGCATTTGCTCTTCATACGAGACATGTTCACAGTAGGCGTGCTGTTTTAAGGGGTAGCAAGAGGATTTTAGATGCAGCTACACGGTGACAAGTCTTGTTACTGCTTCTATCCAGTAACCAGCAATCTCGAGAAATAGATGAATACCTCTACACAAGTGTGGCACTCGCTCACGGGAGCCTACACCATATTGGCCATCCAGACGAAGCTCATCAGTAGGCAACTTTCCAACTCGGATTACCAACCATCATTACGGTATCGGTACTTCTTATTCAGGAATCATCTTCCACCGTACTACAGTTTGTGGGAGCGTACACTGCAATGATAAACAGGCGCCGTTTATCCTCGTGCGACTATGAAGATTTGAACGAGCCAGCCCGTCTGGTGACGCGCATCCGGCTGTTAAATGGGATCCAATCGGTCAGGGCAGCTTTAGCTTGGGAGCTCAAAACAATATCTACAACGATGGTATTTGAAAGTCATTTCCGGACAAGCGCAATGAGAAAGTGCTGCCAGTGTCTCATGTTGGGGGTCGCAAATTAAGCACAGAATTCGAATCTTGCAGGCAGGTTTCCGGTAAACAGCAAATATCGATCATATATATATATATATATATATATAACGTTACACCATGCATTTACTTTTATTGATTAACTCAACACCTTTCATACTTTATTGCAATCGTTGGTACACTTTCACTGCGCTACAAACATACTCTATTATGATTACTACTACGGTAACGACATATTCTGTTATCATCACCGCCATTTACTCTAAACTGCTTATCACAATCATCCAGGGTATCGCCCAAACTGGTTGTGATTATCCTGTACATGTTCCAATTAGCAAATTCCTCCAAAAACTGATATGTTCTCTTGTGGCCGGTCTTTCGAAACTTGGATAAATATACATAGTATCTTTATTATTAGCGTGAAAGGCACCGTTACATGCAGCAGAGCAGATAGGCGCCCAGTTTGCACGGTCGACGAGTAATCGTTTGAAACGGTTGACTGATTTACTTATGCAGTCGGCTGCGGACATCGATAAGACATGTGTGGCTCTCTAAGTTGCACTTATGGATAAGACGCAAACCTTGTGCAGAGGTGAAGTTAAAGCCTATAATGTTGTATTGCAGCAGGTTTTATTGCACGAAGTAGAGAACCACCTACCGGTGAAGGCTTAGATCAAGAAGTGATTGCACAATACTGCTCGTATCTGTTTGTAACAATAAGTGAGCAATGCCGAGTTATGCGAAATGGTGTCTGGCAAAAAAACGACCCGGTATCGCATTGATGCATCTATTGGATTCAGCGTGCAGACAAATATGGCTTGTAAATACTACGTCTGATTGGATGAAGTTCTCAGAGTGGTCAGCTGATGAGATGGCGAAAACGTACGAATAAATTTACTAGACGACTTGTCAAAATGGATTCTCTCGGACCGAACACGAGAGACGTGTCACTATGTGAGCCAGATACCAGTCCTAAGGCAGTGCGCTCGCGAAATCAATGTTGTCATAACTTCGGGAGCCTTAGGATTCACTTCGTTCTCTTTCCTTTAACCAGTGATTTACATTTTTTACTTCTCGATTGTTGTTGCCGTTGTTTTTGCTGCATGCTTTACGCATTAATTACAGCTCGGCATATGGAGCATCGTTGAACGATAGGGGTGGGTTAACCGGGTTGTTAGTTCGACCAAACGACAATACAGATCAAGTCGGACTAAGCTGAGTCTCAAACACTCCCGAATAAACAGACGCAAAAAGCACACTTGTAAAGCCTGTGTGGCTCTTCAATTCCTCAAGTGCCTATAGAAGCAATGAAGCATCAGGCTGTCGGCCAAGAAGGAATGCATAGGGATGCACTTCCTCTTGTGTCACCGTGTATGTGCTACGCTCAAGAGAAATAAGAAAAAGACAGCTGTGTAGCAAGATGGGTGTATTCGTGTAAATGGCAACGATTAGCCAAACGCGGGGACTAAGCATTTGAAGCTCCCCAACTGACAGTCACAGCAGACGAACAAATGCACCCATACACAAGTGGCTCACACACCTGGTAATTGGTGTATCAGTGGGAAAACACTGAAATGGTCATTACTTATCTGAGACATTAACAATGAGAAATAGTTGAAGTCGGTCAGCTAGTCCGCAATGGGTGCTCCGTGCAGAGCCGGCAAACGCCTGAATTCAAATAGCCTATACTGGCTACATCACATCCTTCGCAAGTCTGCCAACCGACAACACTGCGACTAACTGGGTGAAATATCGACGTGGCCAGTGGATGAAAGGACATAAGGACAGGAAGATATTTAACGAAAAACTTACTCGGGTTATGAGACCGCTTTCCCGGTTGAGGCATCCGCATCGGCTTTACCACCAATTGTTGAGAACATAGTTGAACGCGGTGTTGTGATGCAGTTAGTTATGCATCCATTCCTTCAACGTTAACTTAAAATATCCATATGATCTTTTCAGTGTTCCTTAACTGCTGTTAATCATCATTGCTTTGTGAATTGAATAAAGACAGATGCAACCACCGGGACTTCGTGTGCGGATCAGAGTCGACTCAATCGACTAGGACGAATGCTTACACCCACTGTTTCGCGCACAGTTTCAGCTGAAACAGTAAACGCATTGGCTCACGGTGGCTTTTGCACTATTGCGACTCCAGCTTCTGCACACTAACTGTTCTATTGTCAGTGTTACGCCCGAAATAAGCAATTCACTCGGTGGACAAGGCATATCATTGTTCCGCATCATGCGCAAAAAGAGTGACGCGGTGCCTCTTCATCCGATAAGTCCAGCTTTCTTGTTTACCTACAACTTTTCATTCCGTTTGCCGGTCTATTTCCCACTGCTAATAATTTAGCATATTTTCATAGTGACCGTATCCGTACCCGCTATGTAAAATTGGGTACATAAAAGTTAAAAGGAGCGCGTCTAAGTTGAGTGTTTAAGGGTTGCCTTAATATGCAATGGATTCTTATCTATATGCTGCAAAGTTTAGTAATAAATGATGCTAAAGACAATAAGTGGTGATGAAAAACATGATGACGCAGCCACAACAGGATGAGATACCTCCTCGCAGCTTGAATGTGGCTACGGACTGTGCGCATTTGCGATAAAGCAATAATTCAAACGAATTCACTAGCATTCCGTTGACATAAAGCACAGTAAAAACGAAGAGCGGAACAAACCTTTTAGGGAAAATCCGATTTCCTTCGGGTTCTTCACTGCCGCCTTCTTCCGATGCAGACGCCTCGAAACGTGGAATAGGTTTCCGATATTTGAAAACACCTCTGTAATTCCGATTGATCTTTGCTACTGGTTTTCTCTTTTTGGATATACGTCGAGATTGGCGAGATACACAGAGCCAACTCTTGTCGCTGGACGTCGATTCCGAGACCTCATCTTGCTCTGTCTCGCTGGCATCACTTTGGCTACAAGCGTCGTTGGAAGATGGGCAGAAGTCTACATCGTCATCGCCAGCCTTTATCTTGGAATCTGTTCCGCCTGATTCGCTCGAAGAAGTAGAAATTCGGCGCCTGCGTCGCCGGCGGCGTGCTTTGAATCCGATTCTGCCAAATTTGCTGTCCCTCCAAGCGGGTTCAGGAGCGTTGGATACATGCTTTTCACTTGACGCTTCAGAATGAGCATCGGCCTCTAAGTGAGCTCTGCAATTTGCACCAAAACCGTCAAACTCATTGTTCTTCTGCGATTTTCGTAATCGTTTTTCTTCCTGATATTTCTCGTCTCCCTCGAGAGCTTCGTCCAACAACTTAAATGCGTTATTCATGTTGTAATGAGTCTCGCGCCTACGTGTGACTCTGGAAACAGCAGTTAACTGTTCTTCGGAGGAGGCATTCCCGGATTCAAAAGACGAGGGCTCAGATCGATAGTTAAGCCGGTTATGCAGCGGGGCGTGGCCCAGTGCAGCTGATCTACGAGGGCGCTGGGAACGGGTGGTCTTCGGACCGCGGCGTCCAAACCATTTCTCGCCGTCCGAATAACTTGATGAAGATGAGCCTTCAAAACTCTCGGTGGAGAATCCTGCACTCGAACATGAGTCACGGTAGGCCACAGAGCTCCGCTTCCGCTTACCTCTGCTTATGATATTCGTCTCAACCTCATCCCCCTCCAAATCTTCTTTATCAGCAATTATATTGGTCATGCTAATATTGACATAGTTCAGACGCTCCTGCATCCGCTTCCATATAGTTTGCTTCTTTTGTTCAGCATCTAAGGTGTCGGCACATTGTGACAGAGTGGTCACCAGGGAAATGTGCTGACAACGTGGACAAAACCAATCACCTTCCGGAATGGAAAACAAAGGAGGATATAAACACATTGCATGATGGCCCAAATCACAACGATCACAAAGTAAAATCCATTCTGGTGTGTCACATTTTAAACAAATTTGGCACGGTTCATCTGGGTCTGCTTCCGCTGAGGTTACTGTGGATGTTGTTAGTCTCTTTTGTAATCTTTTTTGGCGAGCAAGATTTCGTCCGTGAATTAGGCTATCAACATCACTATCAATCTCAATATCGTCCGGATTGAAGTCACTTTCCGGTTTGTCCAACCAATCGGAGCAGTAACCACTTTTCACTGGAGATCGACGTATTTCTGCATCGGATCCATCACATAAATTATGTTGTTCTAGCAAGGCGAGTTCGAAAACGTCATCATCTTCATCCGTCTCACTGGACGACGTTTGCACCGTCCAAGGTTTTAAACGAGAGGCAGCACTTTTACGGTGACGCTTTTTCCGTCTCCTCCGTTTGGGCTTCTTGCCAGCAGTGATAACCCTGTTTTGATCCGCAACTCCCACGTCACAAAATTGCTTCTTTGTTCGTCGTTTTCGCTTAGGCGTAACTCCCGTGTTATCCGAATGTGTCTGTTTTGACACATCGATTGTTGAGTTCAATCGACAACGTTTTGGTTGAAGTGGTTCCATTGTGAGGAATTCGACAGGTTTTCTCTGTCGGCCACTGCGTCGGACCTCTCTTAAGGAGGAACTAACAGCAGCTGTGGCGTCATTTGTTTCAGATTTCAAAGCAACCTTTGAAGATCTAATTTTTGGAGTTTCTGCTGTACTATGTACATCCAAGGACGAAGAGTTGGCCGGAGGCGCCGACTGGATTGAGTTCTCTGCGGACATTGCGGTTTTTTCAACTGAATGGTTCAATGTAACATCTTCAGCGTCGTCCAGTCCGGTGGACACGTGTTTCGGACTGCCTTTGCTGCTAGCGTGTGGCAAACTGCGAGAAAGGCAACAAGATATAAAGCACATTACATTCTTTCATACATAAACGTTGGTACAAAAGAACAATCAAAATGACAGCAATTGGACATGTGCGAGGCTACTACAACCCTGGTAAACGAAAATATGGCAGGAAAGTACTCTGGGGTCAAAAGTGCAGGTGGAATCCAGGTGGTAAAATAAGGGGTTTGCAGTGAGAAAAATACGTGGTGCAATCTGGTAGTAGAGTGCAAAAGTGGTGCTATCTGGCTGACCGATCCACAAAAACCTATTCGAAGGTGACATGATTCGGCAGACACGAATGGTAGAGCATTAAACAAATGCGAAGGAATTAAAAGATAATCTCATTCAGCATCATTATACATGTTAACTGGAGATGGAAAACACCACGGTTAATGTATCGCAATACACAAAATAGAAGAAAAATAGAAACAGAGACACGTCAGCTGAGCCACCAGTAACGGATCGCCATCGTTCCGGAGAGCTAACAACCAGCTATTGTGCTGCAAAAAGTCTAGGTGATTAGATCGTGATTGCAGGAGGGAAAAGCGAAAGGGACAGAGAAACTCACAACACAAATACCAATGAGGTCGCTATCAAGCCATGTCAACAAGTGTATTCAACCAAATGTATCCATCGCTTATCCGAGCCTAGAGGTTACAACAGAGGCCAAGTTCCAATCGAAGGCTTTCATTCCTCTTGACTAAATCATCGTTTGGCCGCTCCTCCTGTTCTTCCATCCACACCCACGGTGAGCAGACAACGCACGTCGCAGGAGTCGGTGGACTGGCATGCGCAAAACATGGCGTGTGATATTACGGTGCTGAGCGGTTCACTTCCTCTTGCTGTGCCATAGACAAGGCGTCGAACAGGCCCATTGCTCATACGGTGTTCCCACCAGATATGCAAAGGCATCGGTGGTCAAAGGCAACGAGCCTCTTTGTGTCGGCTGATCAAATAGGCTTGGTTTCAAAATCACACAATAGGGTCGAAGGTACGGCTGCATTGCACACTCCAGCTTACAGAGAGTGAAGTCGCGTCGGAAACATAGGGGGCGAATTTTAGCAAAAGCGCCGAACTTTTGATATAAGCTCTGTGACCTCATCTTCGATTCAGCCGGTGCTGATGCAAATGCACAAGCAGTTGAAGTTTTAAGCGATTTCTAGCTGACCCCACCAAGAATCAGTATAAGAGGCGGTCCTAGCCAATCTGGGAGGAAAGCTTTGCACTTCGCGGATGCAAAGCAACGCGCGAAACGTCTAACAGTGCGAATCAGACCTGTGCAGCCTGGCATCCTAGTGAGCATTCACCGCTGAATGCAATGTCCTTAGCTTACTCCAAGTTAATAAATCGTTCACAAGGGAGCAACTCCACAATTTCCAAGTTGTGTTCTGTGAATACGATTTCCGTGGCTTCGTAAATAGCGAAATTAAAGAGGAATTGTGAGAGCAGACATCATTGTGTTACACCGCTGGAGAAATTGAGGGGCAGCGACAGCTTGCCGTAAGCCCTCACTATGCTCGAGCTACGAGCGAAAAGCACTCGCATAATATAATATAGTATAATATTTACATACTCCTCCGGCACACCTTCCCGAAGGCCACATCGATGCACCGAACCGAAGGTCAATTTGATGTTGAAGAACATGACAACGGTGGTCGGCCAATATATGTGACGGTGCTCCAACTACTGACGCAAGGTGAATAAGTGGTCGATGCAGTAACGAACTTGACGAAACCCGGCTTGCACTTCATGTATCTGGCTTACAAAAGTGTCAGTCAGTCTGTGAAGTATGACAGAGGCAAGCAATTTGGAGGCGATGCAGATCGGACGGATTCCTCTATGGTTGTCACATTCCGATCGTGAGTTTCTCTTGAAATTTGGGACTATGGCGGAGCTGCTTCAGTCGGTTGGGACAGTTTCCTGCTTTCCACAGTTTCACTAGTAACTCCTATAAATCATCAACAAGAGCAGGTCCCCCGAATTTGAAGAAAGCCGAAGGAAAATCATTAAGTCCCGTGGCCTTAGTCAATTTATGCAGTCCGATCGCACGTTCGACCTTTGAGCTATAGCGTGAATGAAAAAGGACAGCCTACGGAGCAGGGAAACCACTGGCCAGTGAGAAATCTGACAATTTCGACCGACCAAATGGCCTTGCAAAGTGCTCAGTCCAAAGCTACAAACGTTTTGACAAGTTGTGGATTGGCTGTCCACTGTCGTCACGTATAGTTACACTAGCACGAGGTTTCCCCTGCCCGTTTCGCGCATCAGACGGAATAACTTACATGGTTACCAAGGGCAGCGGTCATTTCCATCTCTGACACACGATGAGAGCGCCGGGATTCGCGGTTTCTCTTTAGGCTATCCCGTAGTTTTGCCCGGAGAGTTTTGGATGTCTCGTTGTGTTCCTGTCCAGCCGTAATGTGCCGGCGAGCATCGATAAGTTCCAGAGACGGCGAAGAGACCTGATGTCCTTGTTGTCTATTAACATTACCACATGAGAATTTGGGTGCTGCTAGTAAAGTCTGGTGAAGATGCGACCAGTGACCAATTGTATCCAGTGAGCGCTTACCCGGTCCGCATATCAACGTACTCCGGTACGCATTAAAAACATCTGACTTCGCCAGTTGGCTGGTGTCAATGCGCTCACAGGGTCGTCGAGAGCGTCTGCCACAAGGTACCTGCAGATCAGCACATACAAGTGCATGATCAGTGTCCACACATGAGCATCAAATCGAGTGACAATTTCGAATGCAGGCTATCCAGCGGTAAGTGATCGCAATGTGGTCGATGTACGTTCATGGATGGTGGCTGCCAGCGGATGCTGCGTCGGAAGTTGGTGCTCGTAAGAGATAAGTCAGCATCTTCATACAAATGAAGTAATCTGAAGCATACACTATGTTGGCCGCTCAGATGTAGCTCATCAGTGGACAATTTTCAAACTTGGGCGTTCAGATCCCAAACCAGCACTGTAATATGTGTGCCTCTACTGTGACGAGCGAGCTCGTGCAGTTGGCGATAGAGGTGATCGCTACGGCTCGTGCGGAGGTAGGCAGCAATGACAGACACCTATTAGTTCCGTGCGATTTCGAAGATTTGAGAGGGCCATCCAAGATAATCTGCAGCTTTATGACTGCGTAATATTAATAGGAAAGCAGTTGGCTAGCTTCCACATCCAACAAGCAATTAACCATGGAGACAATAGAAACTGTGTCAGGAAGCCTGATGTCCGGTGCCACTACAAAAATCTAGATGGAACCGGTCGGATAACGAGCAAAGGAACCAACACCGCATGCCACCGCGAGCTCCGTAGGTACATACTCCGTTCCTTTGAACTAGGATAGTGTATATCCCATAGGTAGATCAGTAAACTTACTCTGTTTAGAGTGGGAAGTGATGTGTGAATTTGCTTTAATCATTTCATGCGTTGTTTCCAAGACAAGTTGACCAGCACATAGAGAACAAAAGGGAATACAAACCCTGGCAACGTATTCCCATATTCTGTGACAAATTAAATTCGATTTGGACGTTGCATGGTCTCTACTGATGATTCTAGCATGTAAAAATATATTTATTACTCATAAGACCAAGAGTTCGGGATCCCAATCGAAGAGGTCAATGGACCACCTGATAACGTGAAGGTGCCGGTAACATCAAGTAGCGATTATCTTTTGCACACAAGCAACCCTTATTAATTCAGTGGACTGCATAGTAAAGCCGTGTCCAAAGTTATACATTAAGATCAAGTACGCTCTGAAAAAGACCACGTAAGAACGACGGAACTGCTCAGCAGGTAACAATGAAAAGCTCAAACCATTTTGTTCAACTGATTTTTCAATTTTCACCAATGAAGACTTGTCATACCAATGTGAGCACATAACAGACTATATAAACTGCTTCGAGCTGCGTTGCTCCATTGGGACAGTTTATTTGTGAAATGACAAAGTTGCATCTCCATTGCTCAAGCAGGACTCTACATTGGATGCTGTTGCTTATCTTGTGCATTTCATTTCGTTCGCGTTGGATAGTAGATGCAAGAAAGTACGGCTCCAAATTCTCCACTGTACCGGAGGAATCAGTCCGATCTGCATCGCCTCCAAATTGCTTGCCTCTATCGTACTTACAGACTGACTGGCGCTCGTGAAAGCCAGATTCGTGAGGAGCAAGTCGGGTTACGTCTCGTTACTGCATCGACCACATATTCACCTTGCGTCAGTAGTTGGAGCATCGTAACATACATTGGCAGCCCAACGTTATTATGTTCCTCAACATCAAAGTTGGTTCGATGGATCGATGCGGCCTTCGGGACTATCTAATGAGGAAAGGTGTGCCGAAGAAGTATGTAAATATTATGCGAGTGCTTTTCGCGCGTAGCTCGAGCAGAGTGAGGGCTTACGGTAAGCTGTCGCCGCCCCTCAATATCTTCGTTGTCACTTTTCCTCTTCAAGTTCGCCATTGACAGAGTCATGAAGATCGTGTTCACAGGACACGACTCGGAAGTTATGGAAGTGCTCCCAGGAGAACGACTTCTTGACTTGGAGATGCTGACGACATTACGTTCATCTGTGACAGCTCACAAACGTGACAAGCGGCATATGACATTAGTACTGGTCGTCAACCGTTTCGGGCTATGCTTTGCACCCTCAAAGTGCAAAGTCTTCCTCAAAGATTGGCAAGGACCGCCTCCTTCGCTGACCCTTGGTGGGGATCAGCTAGAAGTTGTTCAAAAGTACAGCTACCTAGGTAGTTGTATCAGTGCTGTTGGAATTGAAGACGAAATCACAGGCGGCATAGCAAAAGCTCATTCGCTTTTGCTAACCTACACCACCTATGGCATCGGTGCGACATCTCTCTCCTTGAAGGGTAGAGTGTGCAATGCAGCCGTACGTTCGACCCTACTGTACGGTTGTAAAACCTGGCCCATTAGATCAGGCGACAAAAAGAGGCCAGTTGCGTTCGACAACCGGTGCCTAGAGCAGTTCGGCTCATATCTGTTGG